GGAAGTCCTCAGGTCGGGAGGTCCTCAGGTTGGAATAGGCAAAGAAACCACACCCGTTAACCAGCCGGGAGCGGTGGAGCCTACTGCTGCTGGAGCAGAGGAGGAGCGGGAGACCATATTCACCGAAGAAACTATTGGCGGGGTCGATGTCACCATTGAATCATACAAAGAATACCCCGCCGAGGTCCCCGCTGCCACAACCGCTGAAGCTGCCAATGAAGCCGAAGAGGTGGAGGCAGTGATTCTAAATCTTCCTGTCTTGCAGGTATCCCCAAGCAGCCCAGGAACGCATACCATGATCGGGACACCCGCAGAAATTCTGACTCCTGCCTCAACCAAATCTAATAAAACACTTATAGAAGAGGAGGAGGAGGAACAGGACAGGAAGTTCCAAGAACAGAAAGCTCAGCTGCTTGCCGCAGTACAACGAATCGAACGAATGCAGCAGCTCGAGCGAGAAAGAAAAAGGAAAATGAAGGTGCTGGTCAAGCTGCTAAAATACTGGAAACCGCTGACTCAACTCCAGCTGCGATTCAGAGGATATTTACAAAAGAAGAAAGCAGAGCAGCAGGAGTACGAGGCAGCGAGGCAGCTAGTATTCCTCAGGGATGTCTCCCCTGAGCCAGCACCCGATTCCCAAAACGAGGAAGAGCCAGTGGAGATCAGTTCAACTGAGAGCGAGCGACAATCACCAGAAGCGGCGGGTGCTGGACCATCAGCCCCCCGCGCATCACTGGAAAATATTGAAAGAAGATTGGATGAACTCGACTCAGCCATTCTCACCCAATACATGATGACTCAGACATTAATAGACACATACGCTAGGAGTCTAGGTGACGAACTGACTGCTGGAAAGAAAGCGACTGCCGCACTAGAAGAGCGAGTGGAAGCGCTAGAGACTCTGGCTGCAAGCATGGGTACAACGCTGCATGAAATTATGAAAGCTCTCGCAGCTCTTACCCAACAAAACGCCATCCTAATGGAACAACAGCTTGACACAGCCAGGAATCTCATCCGATTGGAAGACCTAGTGCGGCAGATATCACGCAACCTTCCTCAAGGGCGAGGGCCAGCAAGCGAAAAGAAGAAATAAAGAAAGGTCCTCACCCATGTAAAATTGAGAATAACAAGGGCTGTACATAACATCAATCAAGGAGACAACAATTTTTGGTAACTCGTGACAATTTTTCTTTATTGTATGCCTAATATAACCTGAAGTATGTGCTCTTATGTGAAATTCCTGTGATATTCTGCTTGGTTAACTTTGTGATATGTTCTAGAGTAGAGTTAGACAACCTAAGCACATCAGACTAAGTACTTGTCCTTCGAACTTCACCATAACTCGAACACTAGTGTTAGACTAAGTAACAGCGAAAGAGACTTGTGAAAAACTAGTGCCCCCTTCGTTTCAACTGTCCATACTCAGTAAGGCAAGTGACCAGGTTTTTCGACTTTGCTCATAAGGCATAACTTGAAAAGAGAAGTCCTTAAATTTGGTTTAAGATACGATGCAAGCAAAGCAGGGAGGACCTATCATTACAAAGGAACTGAAAAGGCCTAGGCGTGCGAGAACCTAATAAGATCATGAGCAGACACAATGTTTGTTTGAAACTCACGATCCAAAAAAAAAAAATAAAAAAAAAATAAAAAAAATAAAAATAAAAATTTATTTATATACATATATTCTCCACGCCCTTCGGCTGAAGGTTTCCTAGATCAAAAAAAAGAATCTCTGCTAAGCGAACAAAGTTGACAATACCTGGACAACTCCAATCTCGTTAAATCAAATGACATGCTGAATACTTGTGCTTCACCTGTTGCTAATTGAGATTCACTCTACTCCCAATCATGGCACTGGTTATTAGCACGTCTTGATTGCCGTGAACGGAATAACCTCTTGATCCTTTAATGCAGTTTGTTCGAGGACGAACAAAGGTTTAGTGTGAGGAGGTTTGATGACTCCAAATATGAGCATATTCTTAGCTTGACAAAAATGTGTGTTACTTGAATTTTTGCATAAGAACCATCAAAATAATTCGTAATCGGCATACAATATTGATTTATATCACCAGGCATGACCCAGAATTCGTTGTTGAGATTATTAACGATTTTTGCCCTCTTAAGCGGTATTCTGGAGCCAGAAAAGCTAAGGCAGACGCCGCAAGCGACAGCCGCCTTCGCTCGCAAGCGCCCAAGACACACCTTGAAAACACTAAGGCACGAGAGGCAAGCGGCCACCTTCATAGCCGCAAGCGATAGCCCCTCCCGCTTGCAAGCGACAGTCCAGATACCCGCCGCTGCAGACTATCACCAAACTTCAACTAAGTACTTCAAATGCAGCGGTACAGCTATTCCAATTCCAGCTAGCTCAAGCGAGCCGTGCTACGCTGATGCCCTCCTGCTCTCCAGCAAGCGAGGAAGATCTGTGCCATCAACGCAAGCGAAGCGGACACCCTGGGAGTTATGGCCAGCAACTGCTTCAACAGAATAACCACCTGCAACCGCCTAACTGCCCAGCGGTTGGAACTACCCAACAGCTTCTTGCAACCGTCCTGTTACAGCTGCTATAAATAGGGCCAGATATCTGTATGTAAAGAAATATAGGAGATCGAATTCTTGGACGATTTTTGAGAATACACACAGCGTTCATTTTTCTTCCTGTTTCCGAGAGCTCCAACCCTGTAAGGGAGTTCTCCACAGGAAAGGCCAAGGGAGTGGGCGTATTCCCCCCTCCCTTGGCCGCGTCTTTAATGCTTTCTTAGACTAGCTTACTGCTTTCATTTACGGCTTTGTAGTCTAATCCTTTTCGCAGTTTTCATAGTACATAAAGAAATATCATTCTCTTCTTCAATTAAAATCCTTCCATAATTTTCCATACTTATATAAATCAATTTAGAGAATTTCATATCACTGGTATAGAGCGAGAGACGAATTAATTAATTAAGCCTTGTGATGCGCCAAAAGCGGTCTCAAGGTAGTTTAACGTAGTTAAGTATGCGGGAGCCTTGTCGACCTACTTAATTACTGTGCTGAATTTGATTCTGATAAAAGAGTACCAACATCAGGGGGTAAAGCCACTAATGCGGCAGAAATTGGGAAAATTAACGGGACATAGACGGGGGTCTATTAGGTCGCAGAAATTCCTAGTGACAGTAGGGTTTCTTTCTTATAATGTCTTAATTCTGGGTGTCATTGAAGTCTTGTTGTAAATCCCCCCCAGGCCAAAATACCAGTGTGGTGAGTTCTCTATAATCGAGTTTATATAATTACAACATCTTTCTATCATCATTTTCGTAATATACATATATACTTCCGATAACACAATTACGTCACTCGCTCGCTGCATCCAGGGAATTCTACCCATTTCGTAACGCACAGTTCAGACACAACACCTCTTTTCCACTCTAATTCGCTCATATACATATACATATAATATGCCGCTCACTCACATCCCAATCCTATCGCTTTCGCTTCGCTCGCCTCCGTTCATCTTTTACTGCTTTATTTACCGCTTTCAGTAGTAGAAAATTTAGGCCCGCTCCAAGCGGATCCCTTTTTGTCTCTTCGTCGCTTCTCCAAGATTTTTACCTTTGAAATTCATGACTTTAAATCCCTGTGTTCGACCTGGAAACTCACCAGTAAAAAGAGTATAAATAATTGTGATAACTATCCAGGGTCTACAACCACATAATTGCTATATCTGACCATTCTTCTATAAAAACTCTACTCATTGATTTTCAAAAAAAGAAAATTCCCTGCGAATTAATATACAATAACAAAATATTTTTACGGTTATCATAATTTGGCGCCGTTGCCGGGGATTTGAAACTCATGAAAAGTATCTGTTGGAAATCTTTTGAAGCGCCATAATTTACTTTTAATTTGTTGTAATCATGCTTTTTGTATTCAATTAAAATTCTTCTAACTTTAAATTTTTGTATGTGTCTGCCGTTTTGTAGGGGTCCGAAGCGTTTTCAGCGTCCCACGAGTCCTACTCCCTCCGCTCGATCACAGAGACGTCTGTTCCGAGAGCAAGTACGAGAACAACTCATGGCGAATCAAGGAAATGCCACCGCTCCTCCTACTGTCATCCCAGCTTTCCAGACTGCCGCTGGGACATCTTCAAATTCCGCCACATCTGCATCTTCGCAGGAGGTGCCGCTCCACGTCCCCTCTGTAGTCCCTACTGTCATTCCCCCTGCACTTTCACAGACTGAGGAGCAGCTATTGAGAGCCCTCAGTAGCATTCAACAAGGAATGGCGGGGCTGCAAGCGCACCTCGCTCAGGTGGAACAAACTCAAGCTGCGCAGGGAGCATTTATTGCTTCCCAAGCGGCACAAGCTGCCACCACCGCTGCGATACCCACAACCATCATTCCACCACCACCTACTGCTGAGCCTTACCAGAGGGCTGAGGGTCATAGGGCTGCTGATCGCCCACTTGCTGAAGTCCCCATGGATGTTCACTACCAGACCCTTCTGGATCACACTTTGATTACAAGTTCTGCGCCCAGAGGCTCTGGCCATTATGAGGTGAAACCAGCGCTCGTCAGCCTGGCGAGCCAGAGCCAATTTCATGGGCTACTCAATGAAAGCCCTTACGAACATTTACAGAACTTTAATAGGATCGCTGCCACCTCCAAATCGCACGGCATCACGGAGGACGCTGCCAAACTGATTTTGTTTCCATTTTCTTTAACATGAGAGGCCAGGAAATGGTTTGATAACCTTTATCCGATCCCTGGCTCATTCAAGGAAGCAGCGCAGGCCTTCGTGAGCAAATACCATCCTGTATCAAAGACCATTCGCCAGAGGAATGAAATACTTACTTTCAAGATGGCGAGTGATGAGACCCTTCCAAAAGCCTGGAGCCGATTCAAACAACTACTCCGCAACTGCCCTCATCACGAAATACCGGACTTCATGGAACTTCAGATTTTCTACTCAGGAATTACTCCTGAACTCAGAATGTCCTTAGATGCAGCGGCAGGAAGCTAGCTATGGGGCGTTGTGCCTCTGAAGCGAGGGCTTTGATTGAGAAGATGGCGGCCAATCAGTCAAGTTGGCCAGAGTCCAATAGGCCCGAGCCATCGAGGGGTCTGTACCAGGTCCCTACTTCCGTATCTCACGATGCAAGGATCGACAGTTTGTCAATCCAAGTGAAGGAGCTGTCTAAGCTTATGAAGCAGGACCTGCGTACTAAAGGAAAACAAGCATTACATGAGGCCGCGGAATGCGAGGAGAAAGCTTATGACGACCAAAAATGTCCGCAGGTTGCTGAGTATTCAAATGAGGAAGCTCAGAACCCGGCGGAGGTCTTCTATATGGCTGGCAGAAATGCCCCTCAATTCCAGCAGTTCCAAAAAGGGCAAGTTCAAGGCCCCGCTGGACCGCGTCCTCAGCAACAATTTCAGAGGCCACAACAGTTCGCTGCACAACAATATGTCCAAGGGGGATATCATCCACATCATCAACAATACAATCAAACCCCCCATTTCCCGCAGCAGGCACATGCATTCGCTCAACCTCCCACAGCGGCACAAGTCCCGTTGAGTCTGGAGGAACTCTGGAGGAACACAGAGCGAGCGAATCAGGAGTTCCAAAGAAACACATCTGCTTCGATCAAAATGCTGGAAGTACAAGTCGGGCAGATTGCTGAAGCGCTGAAGCTGAAGCAGAAAGGAACGTTGCCTGGGACAGTCGAGACTGTCCCGAACCAAGCAAAGGCCATCGAAACTAGAGGAGGAAAAAGGACGCAATCACCACCACTGCCAGACAGAGGTATGAATCAATCTTCTTCCCCTATTGTTGCTAATATGCCTGTGCAGGATGAAATTACACAGATTCCATCTAAGGAGCAAGGTCCATCCCAACCTCGAGCGACACCAGCCGCTCAGGAGTCTGACCCGAAGGAAAAGGATATTGCTCAGCCTTTGGTTCGAGCTCCCTTTCCCGCACGATTTGGGAAAAAGGACAACTCCAAGGAGTTTGATAAGTTTGTACATACTTTCCGTAGTCTTCAAATTACTATACCGTTTGCTGATGCTTTGTCTCAGATGCCACATTACGCTAAGTTTATCAAGGATATAATCAATCGGAAGCGGGCATTTCCTGATGAAGTGGCAGCGGTGCAGCTGGAAAGTGTGTGCAGCGCCGTATTTAAGGAGGACCTCCCAAAGAAACTCAGTGATCCTGGGAGTTTTATCATTAGTTATATAATAGGAAATTTAGAGCCGATTAGGGCATTATGTGATTTAGGTGCAAGTATCAATCTTATGCCCTTCTCGCTTTTCTCTAAATTAGGGCTTTATGAATTAGAAGCATGCAGAACTGTAATTCAGCTTGCCGATAAATCAATAAGATTGCCTAAAGGAATCATTCGTGATGTACTCGTGCAAGTAAACAAATTTATTTTCCCTGCAGATTTCATTATTATGGAAATGAGCGAAGACCGCGACATTCCAATTATATTAGGGAGACCTTTCCTAGCCACCGCTCAAGCTACAATAAATGTTGCTGAAGGAAAAATATCCTTGAGTTTTGGTGGTGATAAAGTCACATTTTCCATGAACTCAGCACTGCGCCAACCTCAGGAAGAAAATTGTGATTTTATCAATGAGTTAAATGAAATAATAACTTTTGAGAACCATGTTACACTTGATAGCCTGGAAGGAATTTCAGGTAATGGATCGCTCGAACTGGAAGATAAAAAGAATTCAGCTGAGGCAAGCGACGACATTCAAGCGCCCACTGAATCCATTGAACAAGCGAATTAGAGTGGAAAAGAGGTGTTGTGTCTGAACTGTGCGTTACGAAATGGGTAGAATTCCCTGGATGCAGCGAGCGAGTGACGTAATTGTGTTATCGGAAGTATATATGTATATTACGAAAATGATGATAGAAAGATGTTGTAATTATATAAACTCGATTATAGAGAACTCACCACACTGGTATTTTGGCCTGGGGGGGATTTACAACAAGACTTCAATGACACCCAGAATTAAGACATTATAAGAAAGAAACCCTACTGTCACTAGGAATTTCTGCGACCTAATAGACCCCCGTCTATGTCCCGTTAATTTTCCCAATTTCTGCCGCATTAGTGGCTTTACCCCCTGATGTTGGTACTCTTTTATCAGAATCAAATTCAGCACAGTAATTAAGTAGGTCGACAAGGCTCCCGCATACTTAACTACGTTGAACTACCTTGAGACCGCTTTTGGCGCATCACAAGGCTTAATTAATTAATTCGTCTATCGCTCTATACCAGTGATATGAAATTCTCTAAATTGATTTATATAAGTATGGAAAATTATGGAAGGATTTTAATTGAAGAAGAGAATGATATTTCTTTATGTACTATGAAAACTGCGAAAAGGATTAGACTACAAAGCCGTAAATGAAAGCAGTAAGCTAGTCTAAGAAAGCATTAAAGACGCGGCCAAGGGAGGGGGGAATACGCCCACTCCCTTGGCCTTTCCTGTGGAGAACTCCCTTACAGGGTTGGAGCTCTCGGAAACAGGAAGAAAAATGAACGCTGTGTGTATTCTCAAAAATCGTCCAAGAATTCGATCTCCTATATTTCTTTACATACAGATATCTGGCCCTATTTATAGCAGCTGTAACAGGACGGTTGCAAGAAGCTGTTGGGTAGTTCCAACCGCTGGGCAGTTAGGCGGTTGCAGGTGGTTATTCTGTTGAAGCAGTTGCTGGCCATAACTCCCAGGGTGTCCGCTTCGCTTGCGTTGATGGCACAGATCTTCCTCGCTTGCTGGAGAGCAGGAGGGCATCAGCGTAGCACGGCTCGCTTGAGCTAGCTGGAATTGGAATAGCTGTACCGCTGCATTTGAAGTACTTAGTTGAAGTTTGGTGATAGTCTGCAGCGGCGGGTATCTGGACTGTCGCTTGCAAGCGGGAGGGGCTATCGCTTGCGGCTATGAAGGTGGCCGCTTGCCTCTCGTGCCTTAGTGTTTTCAAGGTGTGTCTTGGGCGCTTGCGAGCGAAGGCGGCTGTCGCTTGCGGCGTCTGCCTTAGCTTTTCTGGCTCCAGAATACCGCTTAAGAGGGCAAAAATCGTTAATAATCTCAACAACGAATTCTGGGTCATGCCTGGTGATATAAATCAATATTGTATGCCGATTACGAATTATTTTGATGGTTCTTATGCAAAAATTCAAGTAACACACATTTTTGTCAAGCTAAGAATATGCTCATATTTGGAGTCATCAGGTCAGGAAGTCCTCAGGTCGGGAGGTCCTCAGGTTGGGAAGTCCGCAGGTCAGAAAGTCCTCAGGACGGGAAGTCCTCAGGTCGGGAGGTCCTCAAGACGGAAAGTCATCAGGACAGAAAGTCCGCAGGTCAGGAGGTCCTCAGGTCGGGAAGTCCGCAGGTCGAAAAGTCCTCAGGACGGAAAGTTCTCAGGTCGGGACAGATCGGGAGGTCTGCGACTAGATCAGTAAGTCAGATGGTTTGTCAGTCGGGAGGTTTGCGGCTGGACTAATAAGTCGGATGGTCTATTAGCCGGGAGGTTTGCGGCTGGACCAAATAAGTCAGATGGTTTGCAAGTCGGGAGGATTGACAGTCGGACCAATACGGTTGTAGATTAGCAGTCGGGCCAAAAGGGCGGAAGGTCTGTGGTCGGCTCAAAGAGTGAAATAGAGTGATAATTTTGGTCTGCTGAGGACACGTGTCAGCAGGAGAAGGGTTGGTAGACGGTTGAAAAGGAGACGTTGTAACCGTTCTCATGGAGTATTTAAGGATTTGGATTTTTCTGGAGAAGCCATCTTCAATCAACTTCAACAAATCAAAGTCAGATTTGGGGATCACCACTTTAAATTTCCAGCATTTTAATTTCCAGTTAATTATCTTATGTACCGTACAGTGTTTAGAGATTCCTAATCTCAGATGCTAATTAATCAAGTTTAAAGATATTTTTCCATATCTTTGAATTTTACTTTTTGTTTGTTGAAAAAATACATCAACAAATTGGCGACCACAGTGGGAGAAAGACAAGATTGCTGATCCTACATTACCAGAGAATTTCATACGACTGAGGTCGGGCCGAATCGTCAGAAGGATCAACATCGCAGGCACACAACCTCAATCATCATCAGCACCGGTGGGAGAAAATATTTCACCACCAGTTATGCCAAATCCAGGGGAGATTCCCCAACCACCTACCGATTGGTTGTCTTATGTTCAGCAAATGAACAATCAGCAGAATGTGTTTATGCAGAACATGTTGCGCGAGCAACAAAATCTTATGCAAAACATGTTAGATCAAGCATTGTCAAGGGTTACTCTTCAACCCACTCAGACGCCACCAGGGGTGTCACCATCAAGAATGCAAGCAAATTTCGCAGGGCCATCATATGTGGACAGCACACTTCCAAGCGCCACAAACTTCAACCGAACAGATAGAGGAAAGACTCCTTTGACTTTCCCAAATAATATTCCTTTGGGACCAAGGGTTGAAAATGTGCAACCGAATATTACAAGAGAGGAAAGGCCAGGGGGACATGTGAAGGATCCCATTCATATTCCTGACAAAATCCCATTGATGTTCCTGATCATCAACAGTTTTGTTTGGGTGATGAAATTGCTCACGTATTGAGGGTTCAGTTTGGTTTAAATCCTCAAATGGCCAACCAACCTGCTTATCAGAAACCGTTTCCAGAAAGGATTATTAATGAATATCCTCTCCCAAGGAATTACAGGCCACCAGATTTTCATACTTTTTCTGGAGAGAATGAGTCCTCTACTATAAAGCATGTGTGGCGTTTTACAGCACAGTTAGGGGAGATTGGTAACAACCCTTTTTACAAGTTACAACTGTTTGGATTGTCCCTAACTAGAACTGCTTTTTCGTGGTTTGTAAGTCTGCCGCCTGGGCAGATACAAACTTGGGAAGGTTTAGAGATGGCATTTCATGCCAGATTTTTCAATCCCTTGCCAACAGTTTCTTTGACTGATTTATTGGGGATGAAACAATATCCAGAGAAGTCAGCCTCACAATTTACTGAGAGGGTGCAATTAATGAAGGGACGGTGTCCCACAATAATCAACGAAAAAGAGATGACCAACTTAGTGATCCAAAATATGCATGATCGCCTAAGAGATGCACTCACTGCACATGATGTCGAGGATTTGGCAAGCCCTGCATCCAAGGCTGGACGTTTGGAATCACTTTTCAGGGAAAGGAATCAGAATTTCTGGCGTAATAAAGGTCAACATATGGCTAGTATGGAAATAGAGGCATACGACTTTGATTATGATCAAACAGAAGAGATGGCGGCCGAAATAATTTCAAGAAAACCTTATGTATGCTCTAAGTTAAAGCCTGCACCAGGAACAGAAGCTAAAGGGCAACCGACCTTTGACAATTCAAAGGCCGATGAAATATTTAACATTCTGCTAACTGATGGTCAGATCCGAATTCCAAAGGGGCAGAGGTTGGCTTCTAAGGAAGAAATTAAAGGGAGACCATATTGTAAGTGGCATAATTCCTTCACACATAATACAAGTCAATGTACTCATTTTCGAAATGAGATCCAAAAGGCGATTAAGGCAGGTCGGCTCAAGTATATTACTTTGGGAGTAGAGCAGCAACCGTTTCCAAAAGTAACCACATCAATGGTTAATATAGAAGCAACTTTCAGAAAAGAAAAAGGGAACTCATTAAACAGTGGCCGACCAGAGGATAAACTCAAAGTTTGTGAAAAAACAGTGGCTGAAAAATGGGACAACCAAGATGGTTCCTTTGATGTGGAATTAAAGGACCGGGTTTTAGTTCGGGACCACCCGACCAAGAGGACGGGTACGGTCGGAAGCAAATGGACTCGAAATAAGAAACCTTTACCAATTGATGTGGATCCTTGCTTCCCAGGCATGAATCGTACTCAGATTCGAAATGCCAAGCGTAGATACGCTGCGAGATATAGAGACAAGGTCGCCTCATCAAACCAACCGAGCAACAACCAAGACACTGCAAAATATACTGAGCAAGGTCGGTCCATCAGGGTCGTTTGAGCAACCGAATGAGGCAGAGGGAGGTCGGTTTATTGGGGCTGCCTCATCAAAGCAGCCAACCAGTGTTCGGGACAATGAGGGAGGTCGGACCATGCAGAAGAAGGGTAAAGGCCTGTCTGATGAAAGAGTTAAGGGTTTCGGATGTCAATATTGTGAGAAGGTTAACATTAACCCATCACTAGAGGAATTTCGCTTGGAATCTTTGACCGTTCAACACAAAATGGAAGTCGGAGACGAAATTCCAGAGAAGGATTCAAGGTCTGTCAAATCTCGACTAGGGCCATGTATTCCTTACCGAATGACAGAAATTAATTGGGTTGAGGAAGAGCCTTTGTCGGCAAGTCTGTTGGATGAGTCTGTAGAAGAACCAGAATGGGCAAAAATTGCGGATCCTGACTTTCAATTAGAGGTCCCTCCAATAGTCTTCCCTTCCATTCCAGAAGGTGTGACGTCTCATTTGAAGCCCCTGTACGTTAATGCTCATATTTGTGGGAAACCAATTACAAAGGTTTCCATAAATAATGGGGTTGTTTTCAATGTAATACCATTAAAGACTCTCAAGAAGTTGGGGAAGGGAATTCATGATCTATCTCATGTGGATTTTGAGATGACTAGCTTTACAGGGCAGCCGACCAGACCAGAAGGCATGCTGGTCGCCTCCATTGAAGTTGGTCCAAAGAAGATTTCTTCTGTTTTCTTCGTGGTGGATGCAGACACCACATATTCAATCCTGCTTGGACGAGATTGGA